GTTAACTCTTGTGGAAATTTGTTTATTATCTTATGAAGCCAACAAATTTACATAATTATTTCCATTTCTTGCAGAGAGCAACTTAGTCACTTCGTTAATAATCATTTTACTCGTGGTGTGCGCTCAAAGGGGTCTAAAGGTAAGTTCAAAGTTTTTGTGATTTACTTTGCATTTATTTATTAATTTATTTATTCTTTTTTTGGTCTGCGCGTGTTTAAACTCTTGAAGATTGCTACAACGTTGAAATTCCCGCTCCTGGGGCCAAATTCGCGTTCAAATGCCCTACCCAAGTGCCGGATTTGGTGGTCAACTGTTTTGATATGACTAACTCAGCAGACCGTGACTTTCTATTCATTGACCAAGCTTTAAAACCTAGACCTTTAGATGTTTTCTTGTGAGCTATTCCATCGCTCGCAAAAATGAGCTCTTTACCTTAAACACCTCCATATTTCAAGAAAATAAACTTGTATTCCACTGGAAAGACTTGACATTTCCGGCTCAAATTCTCCACCCCGCCCAAGCAAGGTTCAAACTCTCCACTCCCAAGCACAGACGACAGTCAATTTCCCGTAAGTGCCTGGGTTGGGAGGGGGGGATGTTGAAGCTTCGAGTCGATCGGCGCATAACGCCTACGTCTCAGCCCTAACGGAACGGTATTTGTTTCGGGATAAAGAACAATGTAGGACTTCCGTTGTTATGACGTAAAGTTTTTCTTATCTATGGTCTCTTCTTGTCATCGTTTTAGTCAGCAAATCACTTTCAGGAAGACTGGAGAAATGGTATGACTGGGTTGAATTAAAAAATACGAAATACCGAATGACAAGGTTTCTTTTTTTTTTTTTTTTTTAATCTAGCGTATGGCATGATTGGACCAGATACTAGCCCATCTGTATGTCAAAAGCGAGAGGATTGGCGTGAAAATTTTGCAGATATTAGCAGTTAATTTGGCCGGGACTTGCATGTGCCCTCGAGAATGAAGTTGAATGGCAGAATTGCTACTAATGGAGAAAATTATTACCAATTTCCCGCGCGTCAATTTTAAGGTGAAAAGAGCTCTCGATTCTCAATAACGATCAAAGTGATAGAGAATGGTGTATTCAACCAGCTTCAGATTTTACCTGGCTTGAGGAAGTAGTTATATCTTTACATCTCCCTTAAAACAAAACACGATTGTGAGAGAGAACAAAATGATTATTTGTCTCTTCCTTTCGTGGCATGCGATGTCGTTTATGTACTTTAAGAGAGGACTGAGGAAGCCGTGAAGCTATTAACATTATTATATTTACTATTCATACACCTATTATCTTGGTAAGAAAAATCTGCCATCCATTCTCAACGTTTAGTCAGTGATCCACAGTTAAAGAAGTATTCAGCAGTCCTATAAGCAGACTGACCTACAGTTACAGTTTGACAGACAGACGGACAGATGAACAGACGGACGGACGTACGGAAGGGCCGACCGATGGACCAACTGGACAAACAGAAGGACGCACAGACAGACGAACAGACAGACAGATGGACATACTATTGGAAATAGAAGTTGATAAGTCATCCGTTACCTGACAAAACGTTATTCAGGAGCTTGTCTAAAAAACCGGCCACTTAGAAAGACAGACGGACAGACATACAGACGAATAAAAATCTATCTATCGAGCCATAAGTAAAAGGGTGAGCAGAGAGAAAGCTACATGCTCGACAATCTTGAGAGAACAGACAAGTCACCTACTTTTAGAGAAATGATTATATATCTGATACTCAAAAACAATAACGATTTGATCGTGAAAGTAAACGGTAACTACGATTTGTTAGTAATTTTCACTTGTCTTACCGACAGCTAACAATGGAGTTGGGCCTAACAAAAGTCTCAGCTTGGAACGGACAAAACCAATTGAACTAAAAAGTAAAAAGTAAAGTAAAAGCCTCTTTTGGATCGGTTAGATGACATAATAATACGGAATTTCTCAGAAATGGCGATACGGTTGGATGTACTACTGAGAACAGCTTCAAGCATTTTGTACTCTTCTTTACTTCGTCGGCGACCCATATACTTTTCAATTGAGCAACCAACTGAAGCGGACATCAATCGGATAATATGCATGTCAAATTGTCCAACACTTTACATCATTACTGCCAAACTGGCACTATTGCATGCTTATCTTGATAAGGTGTGTTTATGCCAGACGTACTAAACATGAAGTATTCGATCGCAGCAGAAGCTTTACTGTTTACCTTTCAGAAAAATCCCACGATCAAAAAATTCCAAGATCAAGGAGAGAGTTGCCTCGGTAAATTAGCTGAAAGTAATTTATAATACCCCCGAGATTGACCATAAACATTTTAAGATGGTATACCGAGGTGGATGAAATGCCGGATCGCTACCTTGTGGAGTTAATCAAATCAGTATTCCATGATCAATTTATAGAAATGTGACTCAATTGAAAGGAACTTAAAATGAAAGAAAATTAAATGGTCTTCTTTTGCTTGGTCTAATACTTACGCCTAAAATAATTCTTAGTTCTAAGCGGAAAAGCTTACTGAAGTAAAATAATAGATGGAAAGCTTTCACTGACTCAGTTAAACGACACTTAATAGAAATCGCGACACGCTTTAGTGCCTCCTTCTTTGCCAAATTAATCAAATTAATTGATCAAAAATAAGGAAATATGCAGCTAAAAGTGGCCAACACTATACATCCTAATTTTCAAACTAGAGAACTTTAAAGCTTATTTCGTTAAAATGCGTTGATGCTCAACACATTAAGCAGACAGAGAAGTATACAACCTATGCTTTTGGCAAACAGTATTCGATCGAGGCACCAACGTGGCTGTTTTAAATCGATGTACAAGTAAAGGAAAGCAGATAGAATGATAGTTTGAATTAATGATGCGAGCGATTCAAAGGTAAATTTTTAGATCGAATACCATCTAGAAAGGTTGAAATCTGCCCGAATAACATCATTTATCTCTTAATTGTAATTATCCTGTTGTGCCCCAATAAATTAAATGAACAGTTTTTTTCCTTATTTCACACTATTGTCAACGGATGAGTGGTTCTATTAGTCTTCGATCACTAGTTTTGGGAGAAAGCAAATGCGGAGGCGAGGAGACAAATTCGTTCAAGAGACGGTTTGTCCTCAGTTTCTCAACACCGGCGTGATTTACCGCGTGATTCACTGCGTGAATTGCATGACAAAATTCCGATGTC